GAAATATATTGTTTATAATAATACATTTTATTTAAATGCTTCATAACTTCATACATTTAGTGTTTGTTTAAAATGGGACAAATCTGTAATTACTTTAATATTTAGTTTATTTAAGAGTTTAGACAGTTCTTTCATGCTTCGCTAAGAAGAAGATAACCAGTTGTAATTTTCAGTTGTGCGTACTGGAAACATTGTAAAACTGTGACCCGCTACTACACCTATTTTACAGAGCTGGGCCAATAAACGATATTATATTGAATTGAACTAAAATATATGTCAATAAAAATGATGTCAATAACAAAAGCTCTGGACTTTTTTACTCTACTTTTTGGCCACTGAAAATGTATCCGTCAAAAACATTTTATCCTCTAATTTTTGTGGCTTCAGTCACTGTTGGGATACTCTTTGAAATCTGGAAGCATTTCCAACTTATATCGAAATATATTTTTATTGTTAAATATGGAAAATAATTATCAGGATTGCATTTATTGCCAAATCGCCCATGTGACATTAGATATCTTCTTCTGTGTGCCTATATGTAATTTCGGTAACACTGTACAATAACAGTACATGAATAATGATGTATTAATATGTAAAATAAACATTACTTTATTATGAATTAATGATGAGTTAAGTTATGCACTAATCATGAATTAACTTTAACTACAACATGAGTCACATGAGTTCATATGTAAATAACGACTACCTTAATTACTTGTTAGTATGTTGTTAATAAATGTATTAATTAACATTTAAGTTTAAGCTAAATGTAACCAGCATGAACTCATGAGCTGTTAATGTAGTTATGTCATGACTACTTGGAGGGGCACATCACTATTAACTCATTCTTAACCAGGGGTGGACTGGCCATCTGGCAATTCTGGCAAATGCCAGAAGGGCCGGACCATTTTTTTAAATGTGGGCTGGTTAGTTTTTTATTTTTATTTTTATTTTGTATTTTATTATAATTTTTTATATGTATTGTTTTTACATGCAGGCAGCTTTTATCTCGTGTATGTGAATATTATGATGACGTTGATGATGGTAATAATAGTAATAATAATAGTAAATGTTAAGCATTTGGCCCAATCGGTGATAGTTTCGAGAGGGGCCGACTCAATCAAAGATTACGCGGACATAATCAAAATCTGGCAAGAATGTCAAACAAACAGTACGTATGGTAATGTGGGCTGGTGTGGCTATAGTGCCAGGGCTGAATTTTTGTCCCAGTCCGTCCCTGTTCTTAACTACTCATAAACTCCTGTTCATGTTGATGTTGACAGAACACTTTTCTATTGTTCTTCAGTGTAAACTCACTAGTTGGACGTGCATAAGGAGTGTTTGAGTAGTTAAGAATGGGTTAATGATGATGTGCCCCTCCAAGTAAAGTCACAATATAATTATACATTAACATATCATGAGTTCATCATGGTTAAATTAAGCATAAAGTAATGCGGTAATTAATACATTAATTAACAAACAATCCTAACACGTAGGTAGCTGTCATTCACACATGAACTCATGTGACTTATGTTGTAGTTAATTCATGATTAGTGCATACCTTAACTCATCATGAATTCATAATAAAGTAATGTTTAGGTTACATATCAATACATCATTATTCCTGTACTGTTATTGTAAAGTGTTACTGTAATTTCTTCATTCATCTATGTTGTTTTGAACTGTGCTGCGTGCTGTCAAAAGCCCTCATGAAAATGAATTCACTGTCTAACTGTTAAAATATTTTTCAAAATACAATTAAATGTAATATATTATTAATTTTACTTTGAACATTTTAATTTTATTGAAAGATTATTTTCATTTGGGTAAACCTTTTTATTTTTTGTCATTACATTTTAAGATGATACGTCACATTTTTAGATTTAAATAAATGTAAACTAAAATAAATATATTGCACACAATCACGTACAACATGTGGATTACAGTCAAATATTACAATATATTGATAATGTAATTTAACTTACAGAGCTGAAGCTGAAAACTCCTCATGTCGCATAGAGTAAAAAGCTACACGGAGTCAATTCCCCCCAGAAGTTCAGATTAGATTGACTGAAGCACTAAAGCAAAATAATATGAATCTTAGACTCACAACACTCACTATGAACACTAAAAACGTCAACTCCGAATTTGATCCTGATATGTGATGAACTCAAAACAAAATCGATTATTTACTTACTCGGTCATTCCGCCGCCATCTTGTGGTGAAGCAAACTTACAGCATTTTGGTAACAATTTAAATAATACGCTATTTTGATCTCACTCACATTGGCAATAAATTTTTCAAGAAAATTTTGATTATTTACATTTTCAAGACACAATAATCAAAAAACAAACTCGCCTGTAGCGAGTGATGCAGATCTACTGTTGTGTTTCCACTCACAGATGTTTAAATGATCTCAGTGTTCCAGATTCATCAGGTTCAGACCATAAAGATCTCAAAGCTTCTAATCTGTGAGTTTCCTCTAAACATTTGGTTATATGGGTTTTGTTTTAATTTCATACCTCAATAAATGTGTTTCTCTCGCAGGTCTGTTGTGGTTTAAAGCCACTGAGTCTACAAACTTAGCAGTAACATTAGGAGCTGATGTTATTATAATGTGATCTTGATATAAAGGAGATTTACTGGTAAAGAAAGAAATCTCCAGATCCTTCAGTGTTAATCTTGTGCACTTTTAACAGCATATATGAAGGAGGACATATTATTGTGTCAAAACTAGTGAACCACAAAAAGTGCATTTTCACTCTTCTGCGGTCAAAAACATAGCTGACTGATGCTGTTTGTCATTAGTTTTCAAGAGACCATATAAAAGGACATTGTTTCTGGTTTTGTTTTTTTCGCTTCAGCTGAGTTTAACCACACAATATAGCATGTGACTTTCTAGACAAAAACAAGTTGCACAATTGCAAAAATACTATTAAATTGTTTTATATTTCTCTCTGAAAACTTTAAAATAGTAAAATCAGTTCTGGTTATGACCTTGGCATTAAATCTGAAATATTTGTGTATGTTTTGTTGCTTATACACTGCTGTAAATTATCCGTATTTGAGGAGCTACATAGGCCAATAAAACCTTCAGTTTACTACAGTATTTATTAGTTTATCAGTTGACGAGTACATAATACTACAGCATGCTGTAGCATCTATTATTGAAGTGTTGCAAATAACATATAGTATAATATAATTTACTATAGCGTGGTTTTAAAAACACCATCACCATCATTTTTAGGATAAATTACTATAGTATTTATTTGTGTGTAAACACAGAAACAAAAAAGAGAGACTGTCACAATGCCAAATGCTAAAATCTAGCTTGTAGTTGATTATTTTCACTATATTTTATCAAAGCAAAACAGTTTTGGACAAAATGAAGACATTTTTTACTTATAGAGCTATAGGCTTAGATAATCATTATATTTTTAACATAAATGGCAGCTTGTTCTTGATTAACAGATGCAAAACTACTTGCTGAAAGCTGTGAGTTTGTGGCAAGATAATGAAATAAAGGGCGACTTTTTGAGTGGTGTTGTTGGTCAATATTGCAGAGGGATATTGCTTGACTTCTGGATTGCTGAGAATGGGCAAAAACATATTTACAATAAAATTAGAAATGTAAATTCTTTAGTATTAATGTGTCAATATGGTTCAAGTTCTAGTTACCAGCATAAAACTATAGGTAGTAGTAATAGATTCTATTTACTCAAATGCATGTTTGAGGCCGTACTTCTTTACTTTACCATCACATAGTTTAAGTGCATTTGTAAAATATAAATCATTTTATTAAAATGCATACTTTCAGAAATATTTTGGATCACTTAAATAAGCAGCATGCAAAAAAATGTCATGAGTATTTATTGCAAAACCATATAAAAAACGATACAATCAAGTCGTGTTGCATTTCAAGTCCTGCGAGGTTACAGATACCATCCCATCTCTAATCTCAACTGTCCAAATACTTTTGAGAGTCACTCTATATTTTGTAGTGTACAGAAATTATTCAGTCTGTTGTTTAGCCCTTTCACAAGTTCTAAATACTCCCGCTGCCCCTCCTGGGTGAGCTTTTTTTAATTGTGACTGTTATTTAGAAAATTATTTTAAGTTTATCAGGTGACACACCACAGCCCCAATGGGTTACGTCTATATGGTGTTTTGCTTCCCTTTACTGTAAGCACTGACAAACATGCAAACTATATTGTGAATTATCTGATATTCTAATTACCATATATATTATCATATTATTTGATATATGAAGGATTATGAGTGTTTAAATCAGGGGTGCCCAAACTCGGTTCTGGAAAGCTGGTGTCCTGCCAAGTTTAGCCCTAGCCCCAATCGAACACAGCTAGCTTATCAAGCTGTAAAGCTGTGGTCACACAGTTTAAGCTTCCGAAATTCTGTAGTACGGCGCTGCGAAAAGGGGTGAGATTAAACAAGATGATTAGACATAAAAAAGGTCAGAGCTCACCACACCAAGCTTAAACTTTTCAATGCAGAGAACTGCAAAACTTGTGTTTCTGGTCTGATGCATTAAAAGTGCAGTGTGACCACAGCTTTACACAGCTTTCTAGAAACATCCTTGCAGGTGTGTTGAGGCAAGTTGGCGCTAAAATCTGCAGGACATCGGCCCTCCAGGATCAATTTTGGACACTCCTGGTTTAGACTATGCTGCAGGGGAGATTAGAGCTGCTGGATTTACAACACGTTTATTCATCATTTTCCTCCGAAACATATAAAAGTGGCTGTTTAACTGCGAGAGAAATAGAGTAAATGTTGGAGTAATATAAACAGTGTCTCTAATGTGAATAAAGCACATCGTGCAGTTATTTAAAAAATAATGATTATTGTCACCTCTATAGTCACCAGCGTGTATTTGCTAGTAGTCATGTGTATTTGAATGTCTGAAACCTAAAATAAATGTTGTTTGTTTGAAAACACTGATAAATTGTGATTTATGACCAGCACTGCACATCTTTTTCTATGCCTCAGCTTAAATGAGATTTTAATTTTAGCAGGTTATGATGTACGTTTTAATCACATGGGTGTGATTGTACATGTGAAAGAGTTAAGATCACACAGAGTCACTGACTCTGTATAAAGCACAAATCCAGCATAGAGGGGTTCAGTAAATTTGGTTTTGAACGTGTACAAGTGATTAAGTGTGTTTTCATCAGGGACACTGAAGAAGGACAAAATGCCAGCCGGCTCGTCTAGAAACACCCCAATTCTGTTATAGGGAGTTGTTGGGAGAGGAATATAAACCCCCATGTTATCATGCCAGACAATCAGTTTCTCTCCAATAAAGCAGCTCAGAATCCAGGACTTGTCATTGGCTCCGAATCGACAATCAAGACTTTCTCCTTTCCTGCCGATTCCTCCATAGGACACCACCATGTCACCCAGTCCTTTCCACTCGGCCTCCCAGTAGCAGCGTCCAGACAGACGCTCTTTACACAGAATCTGTGGGAGGCCGGTAAATCTGTCTGGGTGATCAGGATAAATCATTGGCTCTGAGTTACGCACCAATGTTTTGTTGTCCTCTGCAACTGAGAGCATTTCATGTGCAGTATTTGGATCAAGAGTGATATTACACGCATCTACGAACAAGAATAAGGAACATTAATAGGAGCACAAATACACAGTTAAATATAAACACAACACTTTCATTTTTGCTCCCATTCTCAAGAGGTCAATTCAAAGTTTTTTTTCTATGTACGCAAAAGGCCTATTTCTCTCAAATATAGTTCACACATTTGTCTAAATCTGTTAGTGAGCAACGGGCTGTAAGCACACAGACTTTTAATTTTCAGCTAGGCAGTCCAAGAGCTTCGGGTGGACTATCTTTCCATAACAAAATTCTCACGTCAAAAATCTGATTTCTTTAACCCTCTACCACTCGAATTATGGTAAACCTGTAAAAAAATATATTTTACTTTTTTTTTCTTTTGTTAAAATGGCTTAACTTGAAGTGATGTAAAAAAAGATTTGGAATTTTTTTTTTTTTAAAGTACTTTGTGAAATGTCGCCATTTGGCAATTGGCAACAACGTCCAACAGTGGACCTACCTGAGAAATTTCTAATTTAAAACTTTCCCTATAGTTAATCATTTATTTGTTTGAAATAATTTAATTGGTGTTGCAGCATTATGAGCTTAAACACAGAACTTATAAATTACACCTTATACATACTTTACCACAACTCATATTCCGACAGCTTTCATTTATTCTATTTTTTTTTTTTTGCTGAATATTATTAAAACAATCATAATATTGTATTATTATATATACAACATACAGTAAATATAAATATTTTAACCAGCAAATATTACAACAAATAAATAACAAGTCTAGTATATCCAGGTGCATCAGAAAAATGTAGCTACTAGCCAACAATATTTATATATTATACTATATACTATACTCTGCCTGTCTTATCTGCATCTGAACTTACTTATCTGAACCGTCTCAATCAAATGTCCAGTCTGCATCATTCTCATGGTCACTAAAACCCATCTCATTCTCACTTTCATCTGCAGGAAGAGCCAGTTCGGTCCTTTTTTTCTTTAAATTCCCATAGAACATAGTGGTGCTCGCTAATACACTGTTCCCTGTATTGATATCTATTCAAAACTATATTGCCATTAAAACTAGATTTTATCCTTGATGTAAATGCCATTAACACATGACTAAAATCTGGCCAAATCTGCCCACTGGCCTCTGTCCATCATGGCCTCCTAACCCTCCCCATATCATGATTGGCATATTATCACTCTGTCTCCTCTCCACCAATCTGCTGGTGTGTGGTGTGCGGTCTGGCGCAAAATGGCTGCCGTTGCGTCATCCAGGTGGATGCTGCACAGTGGTGGTGGATGAGGAGATTCCCCCCCATTGTGTAAAGCGCTTTGAGTGCCCAGTAAAGCGCTATATAAATGTAACAAATTATTATTAACTATTATTATTATTATGACTAATCAACATTATATTATTAGCATTCATATTGTTATTGTTACAACTTAAAAGTTCACAGCTGACCTAGCTAGCTAGCTAACCCATTGCAATATTGCATGTTCCACTATTGCACAGTTTTGCCATTTGTTAACACACACATTTGATCGATTTACAAAAATTAATTTCTTTATTTTTTTTTTAATTGAGTTGTGAATATGTCATCATGACTTACTAGAGGTGATGTTTCAGATTTTTTTTGTTGATCTGACATAATTTGATCCTTTGTTTTTATTGACGTTTACATTTGCATTTAACAACTACTCACAATAATTCTGTCAGAAATCGCGCTACAGAAAAACACTAGATGTCATGTGACTTAAGGCTGATTTATACTTCTGCGTCAAACGTCGGCGTATGCTAGGGCGCTGACGCATAACCCTTCGCCGTTGCCATCGCCGTCACTGATGTGCACCTCTCAAAAAATGTAACTACACGTCGCAACGACGCATAGCGTAAGCTCTGTGATTGGTCGGTTTGGTAGCACTGACGAGTCTGGGCGGGACCGAGAGCCGCATGAATGGCGCGAGCGATTGTTTACAAGTGTGGAGTCCCGTGAAGGAGCTCCGGATGAAAAGTTTTGTTTTGTGTTTACCTCATAGTTAAAGTTGTTGCACGTCCGCCGGTTCCTGCCTCAAAATGAGCGAGTTTGAGCCACTTGTACATCCCGGAAGTGTTCAGGAAAAGCAAAAAAGCAGAGAAGAAACTCGACACAGAGGAACATTAACACCTCACTGCCCACTAGCGTTTCGGAAGTGTTAATGCAGACCGACAGAGACAGCGCGCAGAAGTATAAATGCACAGCCACGCGCGTTGCCTGCGCCGTGGGTTACGCCGGTCACTTGACGCAGAAGTATAAATCAGGCTTTAACCAAAGCACATCATTGGCTACTCTAAGGTCTTCTCTTTCCAACAAAAAAATTTATATGTTGGTCTTAAAGAAACAGTGGCAGTGAAATGAACATAGGTATCATGTTACCATATGGTTACGGCGTGCAGTAGAGGGTTAAAAAGCAGTGATCTTCACTGCCTGTTAGATATTCAATATGAAGTGGGTATAGATCAGACAAGAAGCACTGCAATAAATTCCATTTCCTCCCACCATGTGTTTAAAATGACAGTTTATTTTACCCCAGTATTTTCAAAAGAACTTCTGCGCTACTGTTGCTACTGACGGTGCTAGTGGTTACAATGGCCTTTTATCTCACTTTATGCTTGAACAACTAAATTAATGCTTAAGTCTATTTAACTGAATGTATTGTAATGATATTACAACATTAATGCTGTAAAAACAACCTTGTGCAATTAAAAATAGTCACATTAAGCTTTCACCGAGAGTTTATCGTTGGCTTTAAAACTCTAGCTATACATAGAGCCTATTCTCCTGTCGAGATCCATCCAGCTCAAGCAGGTTTGGCAGTACATCTAACCGGCCTCACAACCACAGCTGCTGCAACAATCGGTTTGCATTACCAAAGAATTTCTGCACAAACAGTCAGAAACCGTCTAAGGGAAGCTCGTCTGCATGCTCATCATCCCCAGTGGGTTCTTGACTGCAGTTAGTCGTTGTAAACAACATTTGATGGTATCTGGCACTTTGGAGAGTGACCTCCTATTGAATGAATCCCGGTATTCACTCTACGGGGCAGATGACAGACAGTTTTTATGCTGTTGTGTGGGTGAGCGATTTGCTGAAGACGGCGTTGTGGCATTGAAGTTACGGCACATTTGGCATGCTATTAACTTTGAATGCAATGCATAGAGATACCATGAAGTCCATAGTTGTGCCATCTATTCACAAACATATGTCTGTCTGTCAATTCCTAGAAGCTGAAAACATCCCAGTTTCTCCATCCTGACCTGATATGTCACTCAATGAGCATGTTTGAGATGCTCTGGATTGGTGTGTATGACAGCTTGTTCCAGTTCCTGCCAATATACAGCAATTTCACACAACCACTGAAGAAGTGGACCAACAGTCCACAATCAACAACCTGATCCAAGTATGTGAAGGAGATGTGTGGCAATTTACTGCATGAGTGGTCACACAAGATAATGACAAGTTTTCTGACAATATATGAGAGAAATAGGCCTTTTGTAAACATAGGTAGTCTCAGATCTTTGAGTTCAGCTCATTAAAAAATAGAACAAAAACAAAAGTGTTAAATTTATATTGTTGTTGATTGTAAGTTGCATAGAAATATTTACTGGTTCTGATGTTTGATGAAGAAAAATAGGTGTGTTGACCTACATTTTAGTAGTTCTTCTCTAGCCAGGGTCTCTCCATTATGATCCTTGGTACAGACTGTGAAAGAAAAAGGGACAATTGTTCACTGAAATTGTGTGGAAGTGAATGTTGGAAAATTAATGAAATGGGAAGATGAAAATCAAGTTATGTTAAAAGAGGGATTTTTTTTCCAAAATAAAAGATTTTTGTTAAACTGTAACAACTCCAGGAAAATACGTTCATTTTAAAATATTTTTGTGGTATTGTTTTATGTCATTTACATCATATATTTGATTGTTAATAGTACATTTTTGGATTCTGAATGGTAGAAAAATCTGTTTTTAACCTCAAAATGCAGCCCTTTCCTTCTGTCCACCAACGAGCAGTTTTGTGGTGTTTGAAAATTTACAGAGAAATTAAAACACAATTATTACAACACTGATGACTCAAAAGGGTGTAATTGTTCATTTAACCTATTGTTTCAGTGTAATATATAAAGACGTTATTTCAAAGAGTTTTATTTCAAGTATAATATTACTTTTAAATCTAGGGATAGAAAAATGCACTTTGGGAAATTCTCCCAGGAACTTACATTTGCATAAAAAAAAATGTGACAGGGCCTGAGCTTGTTGTCCTCAAAAAAAAAAAAAAAAAAAAAAATTCATACAAAAACAAGCATAAAATCATTCAATTCAATGATACAAGCATACTTAATCAAAGCTTCTCCATTAAATTATGTCACTTCCAAGTCATTGGGCCTTATCGTACACCTGGCAATAAGGCACAAGATGTGTTTGCTCCGACATGTTGCTATTTTCAGACCAACGCAACCTTAATTTTTACTATTTTCCGTCATGTTGTTTAAATAGCAAACTCATTTGCGCCGCTTTGTTGACTCATGGGTGTTCCGGTCAAGAAAAGAGGTGTGTTAAGCCGCATTGTTGGCGAGTTGCTATTTTGAGGAACTAAAATAAACTGCGCAATAGACCAGCTGAAAACAGGTCTAAAGTCCAGCGTAGAGCGGGTTAGTTGGTTTTGGACCATATTGGGCATAGCATACGAGTTTGGATAAAACTCAGTTTTTGACCACGCTTCATTATCATTGTTAAATTATATGTTGCTGGAAATTAGAACTGAACTTAAAAAAAGTTTTGAAACAAATCTTTGCACTTAATAAACAAAATTAAATATATAGGCTAAAGGGTGCTTTAGTGAAGTAAGTTTCTATTGTTTCCTTATCCACGAAAGAGATAAAGAGAAGATAAAAGTAAAGTCCGATTGGAGGACGCTTATTCTTTATCCTGGCGCTGCAGGGCTCGGTTTTTCAAAAGTAATCCACTAGGATTTTGGATAATAAATTGGATCAAATTAATAATAATAATAATAATAAATTGGATCAAAAAACGGATTACAAAATTGGATTAGATCACATAATCCAATCTTGGTTTTGATCTGGATCAAACCTTTAGTTTGGGTTTTTCAGACCTTTTTGTAGGATTTGGATCACTTTGATCCAAAAAATCTGGATTAAACTGATCCCATCAGAAGGGTGGATTCAGCCTGGATTTCATGCCCAAAATGTAAAAAAATTTATCAAATAATAATAATATTTTGGATCCTCCAGTATCTTACAAGATATCTTATTTATTCATAAGGTTTTAATTGTATTTGTTCATCCATCAGGCTACAGTGATTAGGTAGGCTTTAACGTATTCAGCCTTTCAGTATAGGCCTACAGCAAAGTAGGAAGAGTTTGGCCTCGAAAAATATTCTCCCAAACAGCTGTCAAATTTGATCAAAAACAATACATTTTATTCTGTCACTAATGGATAAATATATATATATTATCTTATATATATATTGTCTTCAGAATATTTATTAGTGATGCATGCAATGATTAAAGAATAACCGAAAAAATGCAAAGAATGGCAATTACTTATTTTTGAAATCACTTTCAACAATTGCAAAAAGAGACTGAAAGGGCAGAAGCACAGCTTTGTCTGGCAGAGAAACAACTGACTCTCAATCAATTCGGTGGGCTGGGGGACCGCACTTCTATGTACAGTTGCGGTCGGTCTGAAAACCGCTCTAATTGGTCCACAGTTTTTAAGTTATTAAATTGAAAAACAAGGACTGGGTGTGTTTATATCACCCCAATATGATGGTCTATACACTATATATACACATATGTTTGTCCAAATAGCTTGAAAAGTAGAATTTTCACCATAGGTGCCCTTTCATGAGTTATGGGTGTGTTTTGAGAATAAACCAATCAGAGTCTCATCTCCCATTCCCTTTAAGAGTCAGTTGCGTCGCACCATGGTGTATTTGCTATTTACATGGCAGACTTTGTAAGTGGAAAAACTGAATGCTTCACTAGTGAGAAAACAGATAAACAGCATCTGCAACAAGAGGAAAAAGAACAAGCCTGCTCCATTAGGTCTTTACGTTCACTTTCTCTATTTCGTTGGTAAGGAACCGTGTTGTACGCACAGACATTAACCTACATAATTAATTTTTTGTTAAGTGCAATTGTGCAAACATTTGTTTCAAAACTATTTCTAAATTCAGTTCTAATTTCCAGCAAAGAATAAATGAACAGTAATAACGGAAATGTGCTCAAAAAACGGAGTTATATCCAAACACACATGCTATCCCCCATATGGTCCAAAACCTGACAGGTGAACAAATCCAAGCTTGTTTTTAATAAAACAAATATAAATATGCATATAATAAATACTACTACTACTAATAATAATAACATTATACAAAAGCAAATTGTCATGAATAAACTAAAAAGAAGCCCCTCGAGATGAAGAAGGCATTAAGGTACTGGTTTTTATATTTATGTAGAAAATAATAATTTTTAAAATATTTTAATTCTTTTACATTTGTAAATATATTTGCTTATTGCTGTACAGGCTTTACCTGCATGTTTTAAGCAATGAGTATGCGAGGCGCACAACTAACGCACTCTGTGCTGGATTTTAGACCTGCTTTCAGCTGGTCTATTGTGCAGTCTATTTTAGTTCCTCAAAATAGCAATGCGCCAACAATGTGCCTAAACACACCTCTTTTCTAGATTGTACATGAATCCACAAAGTGGCCCAAATGAATTTGCTATTTAAACAATGTGGCGGAAAATGGGAAAATTAAGATTGCGCTGGTCTGAAAACAGCAACATGTCGAGGCAAACAGGTCTTGCACCTTATTGCGGCAGGTGTATGATATGGCTGCCATTTATTTTTCCCACTTACAATGTCCGTAATGTATACTATAACTCATTAAGAGAATAGGTTCAACCCTGTTAGACCAGAGTGTATTATTCCATCCTTAAAATAGCAAAAGTGGATTCTGAAACGTGGGGACAATTGTAAATTTATTTGTTTTATATATTTGTAGTAATTATTTGTAGAATTTATTTTAATTTCATATTTATTATTATGAAATTATATTATTTTTATTCAATTTAATATTTTTCATAAATTGATGTGAAAGATAACAACTTGAACTTGTTATTTCTGAAGCTTTTTTTTTTCTAAATAACAGTTTTTTACAAAACAAAACTATTAAAGCTGTAGATTTAATTGTGCTGAGGACAATTACAATGACAGGGTTTGTAGATTTGTAAAGTGTTTTTTATTAAAATAAAACATGTGAGAACCAAATAAATGACATATTCCTTTACAGAACAACTCACAGAAATAAACCGTCAGCCCATTTTAGACATTTTTGGGATGAAACAGTTTTTATTCACTGCATTTGTTTTTATTTCAGTGACATATAATGTACGTTTCTGGTAGAATGTCCCCTTTATTATTACACTGTATGCCCATTGTCTGTATATGACCATCAAACATAGTTTGACAACTGTTAACTTGTGCTCACCTTTGATTGAGTAATAATCAGCAAATATCAGCAGAAACAAGCCAAATATCCTTAGTCTGTAACAAAAAATAATAAAGTTGAATTTACCTTCGGTAACACTATCATTTCTTTACATTGAAACAAATCATGGTATTTGGATAATCACATCACAAAATAAACAAATCGCAAAAGTTGAAGTAATAAAATATTTACAGCTCTCTCTTAATCGACATATTTCGTGTCATCTCTACATCCTTTCAACCTAAAAGCATGAATACATTCGCTTTTTCAAGCAGGTTTGTTTCAATAAAACTATTGAGTGGTGGACACAAACCGTAAAGTACGTTTAACAACAACAACCGCTGCAGTCCTCTTGTCCAAGTTATAGTATGAATATGTGCCACAGCTTTATTCAGTGTTTGGTGATATTTGATTTTGCCAAGAAATGTTATTTATGTTAAACTTCGTTATCGCAAATAATCGACGGCATTAAACTATCACGTAAAAATGTAACGGTACACTAGCTTATAGAGTTGGTTTTATATTCGCACATTCGGCCTTCTCCCCTAATAATTTCATAAACGTATTATTTGCAAACTCTCAAAATAGCGAAATTATATTAGCAGCCAATGACTATCAAAGTACAAAGTTCACAGTCAAATAAACAGTGTTAATGTTGTTTATAAGTCACATTTGCATGCTAATTCTGATCGAATATTCAAAGTAACATGGTAAACTGCTAAATGAACCAACTTTATCACTAAGTTAACGTTAGCTTGGTAAAAGTGGGCTTCCTGAAAAACATATAACGTTAGAAATATTCAAGCAAAAATGAGTGACAAACCTGGAATTCTCCATCTCTTAACTGGTTAAACGAACTTTAAGGCGACACGCTGTTAAATAGTTGCGATTAAATGTGTATTAAAAGCAGTAGCCTACGCCCTAATTCAACCGCTTGTTTATCACTTTTGCTTGTCAGTGTTGCCAGCTCCTCTCGAAATGCGCAACCTTCTATCTTTTGCAGTCAAAAACAGATGTGGGAGAAAAACACGTAAGAGTGAGACAAAATAATAAATTATCGTATTTTCAGAAACTGCACTCAAACGTTAAACATATTAAAAGTAAAGCCAAGCTTTTTCCTATCTGGTAATATATATATATATATATATATATTTTTTTTTTTTTTTTTTTTTTTTTTTTTAACGGTAAATTATCCATATTTGAAGAGCTTTAATTACTGGTTAATGCTATTTTTTATATATACATTTACATTGGCTACTCTTTTATCTTGATTTCAGTAGACAGTAAAATTGTGGTTTTAATTTGGTGCTTATTTTTTATAAGTTTTATAAGTTGTTTTTATTTATACTTCAGCAAAAGAAAAAAAAGGTTTTATTGTCCTATTACATAAGGCACTGATATTTGACTCTGTGAAATAGTAATAATGTTTGTCAGATCCTTTTTTGTGTGGAAACTTTAGACTCTAGACCTACAAATCAGTTAATATTTGCTTTGTTTGCTTCAATAAGTAAAGAAATGAGGCATAATTTAACCAACTATAGTAAAAAAGCATTTAACCTGTATGTAAACTATTCACATGCATATAAGCTAAATATACTTACCATGCCATAGTAACAAGATAATTGTTTAATGCAATTCAATTCATGTTTATTTATATAGCACTTTTTTACAATGCAGATTGTGTGACAGCAGTTTAACATTATAGTGAATATTATAGTGAATTGTAATATTATTAAGTTTAACAAGATTTTACATTGCAACTTCTAAAAACATTTAATACAGGAGACATCGGACAATCCCATTTCATAACAGTTTTACTCTCAGCTTTTAAACTCTAGACAGCTAAACATGAATTCAAAACTTGAATAATCTTATCACAGAAATTATATATGCAAATATATAATGAAGTGTCCATTGATTGATATATATATATATATATATATATATATATATATATATATATATATATATATATATATATATATATATATATATATATATTTCGGCTAGAATAAAAGCAGTTATTAATTTATAAAAAAAATAATTTTTTGACAATATTATTAGCCCCTTTAAGCATTTTTTTCCCGATAATGTACAGAACAAACCATCATTATACAATAACTTGCCTAATTACCCTAACCTGCCTAGTTTACCTAATCATCCTAGTTAAGCCTTTAAATGTCACTTTAAGCTGTATAGAAGTGTCTTAAAAAATATCAAGTAAAATATTTTTTACTGTCATCATGGCAAAGATGAAATAAATCGGTTATTGGAAATAAGATTTTAAAACTATTATGCTTAGAAATGTGCTGAAACAATCTTTCCTCCATTAAACAGAAAATAGGGAAAAAATAAACAGGCGCTAATAATTCTGACTTCAACTGTGTATATAATGTGTATACTATGTTAGTAAACAAAGGACGAATGTGTCAAAGTCATTGATATATAATGGCATTTATAAGTTTATAAATGTTTAATGTTTATAATTTTTTTTTTCAGAGCTTAATGACATAAAAAAATGACGCTGCTGTCAAACATGGGATTGATTGCGTTGTGAGTTTGTTTATATGATGGGCTGCAATTTTTTATTTATTTGTAATGACACTTCTGGTTTTTGCTGGAAAATCAAGATTCAGTATTACACAGTTCTACATATTTAAATTATAATAAGGCAGTAAAAGTTAACTGTACTTAATGCATTAGTTTATTTAAAATTAACAGTAAGCAACATATTTGTTAAGCATAACATATTCTTTACCTCATTTTTCGCATAATATTTGAAATAAAAATAAAAATTGTGTCGACCACATCAATGCGTGTTTAAATACATTTTTTAAAGTAGATTAGAAGACCTTAATATTATCAATAATCCATGATAAACAGTGACATTTTGTACCAATGAAGATCGGAAGTGTCATGACGAATAAATAAAAAATTGGAATTATATATTTTTTTAAATCATATGAAACCCAACAAATAAATGAACTCATGTCGCAATAAATCCTGATTGACAGCAGCATGACTAAACTGTTTTGTGCATGTTTATAAAAGTCATTAAGCTCTGCAATATAGTCACTGCAGCAACATGCACCGCAACACTGTAAGTGACACAGATCACAAATGCATTGACACATGCCAATGAAAACCAGACATGCCACCAGACGTGCCACTACACATAGTGGTATGTGACTGTGGCATCTCTACATCAGATGTCTTGCTGCTGACATAATATTTTCTGTCACCAGCAAGTGGGACATTTACTGTAACAAAAAATTACCATGTAGATGTGATCAAGACTTTAAATAAACATCTAAAGCAGAAAACAGAAAAAACATATGAATAAGGAATAAAGTGCTACTGAGACTACCATATCATGTGACAAGTTTGTGATTGCATGCGTTACTCTTAAAAAAACAGAGTTTAGCAAGAATATAATACCCGAGTGTGGTCAAACTTGCATCAGCTGACAGTCAAGCGGTTCACGACATTTACCAGTATGGTTCAGACATCTATCATGGCGATCTCTAATCCACAAAACCTCCACCATCCCCAACTCCTCCTAGATCATTTCTGTACATGGCCAAGTATGAAGTACACGGTAATAAGTTTCATATTTCTGGCATTTTAACTAAATTGCTTCGTACTGTTTTTATTTTTAATTTTTCTTACATTTTACACACTGAGGAAGGCTTTGTGCCGAAACGTCTGTTTGTCTGTTATCACCCGTAAAATATAAAAAAAATTAAAAATAAAAACAGTACGAAGCAATTGAGTGCGAATCATTACCTTCTTTTGAATAATAGTAACGATAAGATTAACGCACCAAACCAAAGAAGTAACTAAAAAAACCGCAAGCGCGCAGGACAAACTTCAGTAACTCTGCATACGTGGCATTTTAACTAACTCATAAATGTTTAAATCTTAACCCATAATTGTTAATAAATTAACTCATTGACATGATTTGGGGTTCTGTTCTGTTACCCCATGAGGGCTGAATTGTCGCTGCTCTCCTTCGCTCTGGGGGTGTGTAAGGCTTGACCTAGAACCATCTTGCCAACAATAACTGCGTGCTTAATACATCTATATATTTGATAATTATTGTGTGTAAGGGTTAAGCTGATCAGAATCTGATCAATGTTATCCTGCAAATAACATTAAAAAGCTGTATCAAGGGTCAGCAGGCCAGATGCAGATGTTCTTTTAGTGGGTAAGCGAGGATGTGGAGACCCAGAAAGAAAATGTTTTTCAGGAAGTCACTCAGTTCTTGGCTGTGCACGGCCACCATCTGACCTACAAATAGTGTAAGGACAAGTTTCAGAAAACTAAAAAGTACTTACATACTATAGATAATACCATGTGCAATAGATGTGGTGAAACTGTGAACATATTTATATAATCCTACTCACTTTGAAATTACCTTAAAATACAGCAGATAGATAAGAAGTTCAGTAGACACAGAGTACTGAGTACTATTTCCATTAGTATGCTTGATCACAAATGGAAATGTACTTTCCCAAAAAATGTTTCAATCGCCTGAGACATTCATTCATCTTCTGAACATAAATGTTCAAAGTATAGAAGAGAAACCAAAAACATTGTCAAAACTTTCCATGTGACTTCACTATAATCATGAGAAGCTCCAGGAACTATTTTGTTTTCAAATGCACCAAAAAAGATAAAGGTGTGCTTTACTGCAGGCAGTAAAATGTATTAGAATCAATAGTGCAACTTGCAAGTGCTGTACTGGCTGTAATAAATGTGTGCACCCTGACCTGATGAGGAAAACATTGTCATATTTAGGCCCAAGCCCAAATCTATTTATTTTTATTTTTTTTACCTCTACCCATTTCCCTTGGCCCTTGAAACGGAGTGTGAGGGTCTTCAAATTTTACCCCTATGAAATGGGACAGCACTACAACACCTGCACATGTCATCATATGTCATCTTACTTCATATGAGATTGATGATCGCAACTGCTGTAGTTATACCAGTCGCATCATTTTTTGGTATTTATCTTCAGGAAATCCCTGAAGGCATATATCATGTTATCATAATGATCTAATAAGGCAATAAGCTCGTAACTATACTGTGTAAATACACCATGGCCATCTAACATAAACACACAAAAACAACATTAGCATTAACAATATGCAGACACTATAAAAAGGTCATTCCCAGCCACTAGAGTTTTCTGACAACGTATTCAAGTGTCATCGAGTGACAGAAAGTTGTGGGACTATACAGGAGTTATTATTATGAATTATAGAAAGCAAAATTTAGAGGTTTTATTTTAGCGTTTTTTTTAAAGCATGACAGTAAAACATGAACACGGTTATGACTGTATTAAAACGTGTTTGTTTGTTGAAAGAATTTGTAATAATGACTAAAAATACTCATTGTGCATCTCCTTACTTCCAAGTGCAGCCATAATGCCGTTGTAGATGGTGTACCCTGGGAAATTTTTATACTTCTTGGTTTCAAGTGTGGTCCTGAAAAATCTGGACTTTGATTGAGTCGCAAATATTGCTGTCTATGGGGGATGAGGGAGCTCTCAGATGAGGGTAATTCAAAACGGTATTTATTTTTTGGGTGAACTTAACCTTTAAGGAGACTTGCAAAATAGTGTTGGAGAGGCTCCAGGAACAGTTGGGACCCTAAGATTAATCTAAATCAAGTTGTATGTCCAACCGTCACGATGTGCGTTATGTTTAAAGCTAGGATTAGTTCACTAGTTAGCTTTAAATGATCCCTGCCAAGGAATAAGTGCCTTACATAGAAGGGAATAATAGGTAATTTTCTTCTTTGTGGTTAAAAATCATATTATTATTATTATTTAGATTTATTTTTTTAAGGAAACGACCAATTATTTCTCTCAGCAAGTCTCTTGTTCCTCTTTTTTAACATTAAAAGCATTTATTTACTTAAAATGTACCGCCATCCTTCTCTAGACCCTCCTCATTTATCCGGGCTTGGGACCGACACAAGGTGGTG